GTTCGTTCATAAAAATAATACACTTGAAATTTGGTTAAATCTACGAACATCTAAATGTAGTTAGTACACTTTAAGTTTGCAAGCTTCGTAAGTTTGATCCTTCAAATTTTTTCGTTTTTCGATTAGACAACAACAAAGAGGAATTTAACAAGAAACACGCTTGCTATGCTGTTTTTTATATTTATCGTTGGACTTTTAACTTGCACAATATTATATATATATATGTATATGTAATATTGAAGATTTGTATTCGTTAAACTATATTAAAGTATTACTTATATCTATAACCTTTCTTGATCAATACTATTGGTATACTGAAAATTATGATTTCCATCTCCTTGAAATGAAAATCAAGAATAGAAGGTAGAATCGATAATGAGAGTGGGAGTGGAGATAGGACTGTCTATCCGCTGACAAGTAGAAGAAGAAGGAAGCGTAGAATATCGAAGACAGCGGCGTATATTCGTGGGACACTTTAGTTTTGTGGGCTTTAATACTGTGAGGTATTCCCTTTACATCAGCACTCGAACACAGCGTCAGATATTCACTTTAATCCTAATATATCGTACGTAAGATGCGTGTTGGCTAAATAATGACGCGAGCCGCGACCTCGATGCGAATTGCATTAGTGCAAACGCCACCGAACCGAAACCAATCCTCGCCACTGTCATCGACCAGTTTTGCTAGATTTTCTGACTATGCAAAATTTCTATCACGTCACGTCAGATGGCGCTACCAGTTGTGCGAAACGTAATTCCTCAGACAAAATATTTTCCGCTCGCGATGTTTGCTCGGATCGTAGAAAAATTGTTGTCACGACGCGCGTGGGACGACATATCTGCTCGTCAGTGATCGGTCTTTAGGCAAATAAAAATTTCTCTCTAGATAAACACGTTATCTCTTGAACACTTAGGAACCATTGGAAACGTTCGAAATAATTTCGGGAAAATAATTCTGGAAAATATTTCACGGAGACTAATGGGTCAGTAATTTTACTGGGACAAGGAGTATAGGCAAGGGTGAACATACGCCAAGACCAGAAGGACGTCGTGTGACGCACTCAATTGAAAATCTCAAGGCACCCTCGTGCACTGTTGAAAGATAATATATAGGGTTACATTACCTGCAAAATCGATCAGTTACTTTGCTGGAAATAAAATTCCTAATAAAACTGCTAACAATAACTTTTTTCGTCGAATCTATTACACACTGCGTTATGCATACATGCATACATACATATATGCTTCATTCAACCAGCACGTGCTGTAATTGAGCGTGTGTTTCTGTTCATTTTAAAAAGCATACTTTTATTCTGTACTTGTATCCTAACATTTGTATAAAAACAAATAAAATTTCTGGAGTTTCTTTCCAAAGAATTTCGAGTAAAAAAAACGTAAGGAATGCACCACGAAATATGATATAAATGCAAAATAATATATGTAAATGTTTAAGCAATCGAGACTTAAGTTACTTTTATTCTTATTAGATTACAAATTTATAATAAAATTACGACGAGGAGCATAATGTGTGATTTAGTTGAATACCAATAAAAATTAAAGTTATACAGTATGACTACATTCATCTTCAGTGTCTTAAAGTAATAGGTTAACTCAAATTTTAGTGAAATTACAATCGATAAAAAAATAATTTCGAATCTGCAACTTTAATAAAAATCAATTTTATTTTCAGTTACTTTTTGGTACATAAATTGAGGTTATGTGGTTCCGACTTATATGAATGTGTGGACCGGCCTTTACAGAGAAAAAAAAGAGGAGGGGGCAGAAGATAAACAAGAGCACGAGACAGAAAAGGAAGGGGTGAGAGCGTGCGAACGAAGGAGGACGAAGGGAGAAGGTAATCTCGGAGGCGGTTGACGAGCCACTCTCACCTGCCGGCCCTTAAGGGTTCAAACCTAAGCGAGAGAGCCAATGAAGTTTACGTAGATGCTCGTTACACGTGTTCAAAGAACGGAAGTTGCGAATGCGACAACGGAACACTGAATCCCTTAGTTTGACGATATCTGCTTTAACGGAACGCCGATTGATGCCTTCTCTTTAATATATACAACATAAAAAGTTTCACGACGAATAAAGCGAACAGGAGTAGGGGAACGAAAGCGAGCGAGCGAGTAGCGAACGTGGGACAGAGATACAACACGGACACTATGTGCGAGGGGTGAGTCGTGTGAGAGGATGAGGTAGAGTTAGCGAGGCACCGGAGGTGGGTGGGCGGGTGGTGTGTGAGTAGAGGCGCACGCACGCAACACACAGAGAAAGACAGATAGCGAGAAAGAGAAAGAGCGGAAGTAGCAGTATTGGTGGGTGGCACAGCCAACGATAGGGACAGAGAGGGAAGGAGATAGAGAGAGATAGAGAGAGAAAGAGAGAGAACCACAAATGTTGGAAAAGATTTTAACTAAACTCTGACATTATCGAATTTTCTCATAAATACATGTTTCTGTCCATCACGTAAGAAGATATTTTTTGTGAACGGCCGTCCGGCAGATTGAAACCCGACATTTCGAAAGATCGTCGCATTTTCTCGAGAGTGGAGATAGCGAGTTTTTCCCTAAAAGACTGACCAATAATTTAACATTTCATTGTTCGAAAGACAAAAAGAGTCGTGGCACAAGCGAAAGCCGCGAATGAAGAGAGAGAGAGAGAGAGAGAGAGAGAGAGAGAGAGAGAAAGAGTCGAACGGACAGAGACGATGGTTCTGAGCTACCAGCGGCTTTCGTATTGTCCATGGATTACTATGAATAAATAGCTTTCGGAATTAATGAAAAGATCGAGAAAAAAATTTTTTCTCTGATTCAATGGTTGTTATGGTAGAGAATATTTTCAGAGAAAAGTTTCTTTTTTCTTACGAACAGGAAGAATTCTAGAAAAATATCCGAACGTTTGCACATGGTCAATTCCATGGCGATCCGCGAGTTCTCGTTTATTTTTGCATTTTAAGGCATTGAAGAAAAGAAAATGTTAAAAAATAGGAAAAAGCGAGCGCTCGGGCATAGGGTGAGAGCTGAAGAGAGGGTGGCTCGAGGGAGGAACCGAGGAGTGGGAAAGATGTGCACAAAAACGTACTGACGAACATACAATGAAGCAAAAAGAGGTATCTAACCTTCCAACGCGAAGTAGAAGTCTTTTTGTTGTGCCAGCAAAATCGGGGTGCTAGCTCAACCGGACTCAAGTAGAAAGAAGACACGCGGTTCTCTTTTCGTCGGCAGAATTCTTTGAAATACTCTCGTATTTTACACTTGTATG